CACCTTGGTATCTCAGATTCTCCAGCATCTGCAGTTCCTACTATCTCTGATTCTACCTTAATTGTCTTTGCTATGCATCTTTATTGGAAAAACGTATTTTTGAACTGAAGATGACAGATTACCTGTACTATTTTGCTTTGGCAAAGTGTATAATATTCATGTTTACTAAATCTAACTATCTATTTAATGAGAACCCCAAACTTGTGAAGTGTTAAATTGATTCAGAAGCTTGTGAAGTACTGACCTGGATTCTTAGGAAGCGTGGGCAGGCATAGCTTGGTAGATGTTTCACAACATGATTGTATACCTTTTTTCCATCAAACTCTTGACCTTGTTTCAGGATGACAGCTGCCATTCCTATCCTGCCTTCATACCCTGCAGTGGGGACATGAAAATATTTAATTAAAATCTGTTCAAATTTAGAAATTTTTGAAAAATGTAATTATGCATTTTTTATCTGCATAACATAGGTACAGGTCTGAAAATACACTGATTTGCTCACATTTAATTTACTATAAATTTGAATTCATTATCTCCCAAACAATTTTCATTCATAAATAGGAAAACAATCATAATCCTCAAAACCCCTGGATGTCATCCACCAGGATCCCATAAACATGTGAAGTGCTACCTAACTAACAAGAACCAGAGGTGGGATAAACGGGCCAATTTCAGGTTGACAACTGGCACCTGGTGAGTGTCACAAGGATCAGTGCTGGGGCTTTGACGATCTGTATGCTATATTCATGACTTGGATGAGGGATCGAAATGACTATGTCCACATTTACACCTTGGTAATATTATTGGAGGCAAGCATGAAAGTGCAGTTAAACCTACAATCAGATCATAAATGATCTTATTGATTGGCAGAAATTGCTGGAGAAACTCAGCAGATCTGAAGAAGTCACTGGACTCAAAACTTTAACTCTGTTTCTCTCTCCACAGATACTGCCAGACCTGCTAAGTTTCTCCAGCAATTTCTGTTTTTATTTCAGATTTCCAGCATTCACAGTTCATTGTTTTATATTATTGAATGCAGAGCAGACTCGAGGGTGTCAACTCCTGTTCCTATTTCTTATGCTGCTATGTACTTTCCTGAAGTATTGATTTCCTGAATTGACCTACCCATACATTTTCAGAAGTTCCACTGGTTCTCCTAATGGAATTAGAAGCGTCTTGAAACTTTCAGCCCAGTTTTCAAAATGAATTTGCAATTTTTGCTCTGCAAAAGGATGTCACAAATCTATCAAGGTTACTTTTGTCCCTTGGTGATGCCTATGACAGTTTGGTCAAACATTTGAAAATTTGATGAGCTAATTTCAGGATCATAACCATAATTGGTTCAAAGAGCAAGAGTAAACAGACAAATAAGAAAGAATAGTACTGCATAGAAACAGGCCATTTGGCCCATCGAGTCTACACCAACACATGATGCCTTTTGTCTCTTCACTCACCGTATCCCTTTATTTCCTGCCTTGTCGTGTATCTGTCATGATGCCTCTTAAACATTGCTATTGTACCCACCTCTACCACCTCCTCTGGCAGTGCATTCCAGGCACTTACCACCCTCTCTGTAAAAAACTTGCTTCTCACACCTCCCTTAAATTTCCTCCCTTTTACCTTAAACCTATATCCCCTAGTTATTGACATTTCTACTCTGGGAAAAAAAAGACTCTAACTATCCAATCTATCCATGCCTCTCACAGATTTGTAGACTTCTATCAGGTCTCCCTCATCCTTCAATGTTTGAGTTAAAACAGACCAAGTTTGTCCAGTCTCTCCTCATAACTAATCCCCTCCAAACCAGGAAACATCCCAGTGAACCATTTCAATGCCCTCTCCACGGCCTCCACATCCTTCTGATAGTGTGATGACCAGACTGTACACAATATTACAAATGCAGCCAAACTAAAGTTTTATACAGCTGCAACATGACTTGCCAATTTTTATATCCAGTGCCCTGATCGATGAAGGCAAGCTGGCCATATGGCAGTACAGTGTGGAGCTGGAGGAACACAGCAGGTCAGGCAGCATCGGAGGAGCAGGAAAGTCGACCGTTTGGGTTTACACCCTTCATCAGGACTGGGGAGGGGAAAGGGAGCGTGAAAATAAATAGAGGGAAAGATCTACTGAGTTCCTTTTGGAGGGAGGATGACAACTTCTTCAAGGTGGGCATCCTTGGAAGAGGCTTCACAGTCAGGGTTTCAGTCACTTGGAGACAGCAAGAACTGCAGTGCTGGAGTCAGAGTCAATGCAGGGTGGAGCTGGAGGAACACAGCAGGTCAGGCAGCATCAGAGGAGCAGGAAAGTCGACATTTTGGATTTACACTCTTCGTCAAGACTGGGGAGGATGAAGGGAGCTCGGAAATAAAGAGGGGGATGCCATATGCCTTCTTGATCACCATATCCACTTGTGTTGCCACTTTCAGGGAACTGTGGACCTGTACACTTCAGTCCCTCTGTACATTGATGCTTCTAAGGGTTCTGCCATTGACTGTGTACTTCCCTCCTGCATTAAACATTCCAAAATGCATCACCTCACATTTGTCCAGATTAAGCTTTATCTGCCATTTCTCAGTCCAAGTCTCCAGCCTATCTATATCCTGTTATATTCTCTGGCAATTCCATTCACTATCTGCAGCTCCCCTACTCTGTGTGTCATCTGAAAACTTAATAATCAGGTCACCTAAGTTCTCCTCCAAATCATTTATGTATATTACAGGTAACAGGGGTCCCAGCACTGATTCCTGTGGGATACTATTGGTCACAGATCTCCAGTCAGAAAAACACCCTTCCACGCTACTGTCTGTCTTGTATGACCAAGCCAGTTCTGAATCCATCTTACCAGCTCACCAAAGATCCTGTGCGACTTCACCTTTTTTATCAGCTTGCCTTGAGGGACCTTGTCAAAGACCTTGCTAAAGCTCATGTAGGCAACATCTACCACCCTACTCTCATCCATCATTTTTGTCACTTACTCAAAAAACTCATTCAAGTTTGTGAGACATAACCTGCCCTGCACAAAGCCATGCTGTCTATCGCTAATAAGTCAATATTTTTTCAAATATGAGTAAATCTTTTCCTTCAGAAACGTCACCAATAATTTCCATACGTCTGACGTAAGGCTCAGCCTTTAATTTGTTGGATTATCCCTGTTGCTCTTCTTAAACAAATGAATAAAATGACACTGACTATTCTCCAGTCCTCTGGGACCTCTCCTGTGACTAAAGAGGATACAAAGATTTCGTACAATGCTACAGCAATTTCCTCACCTGCCTCCCTTAGCATTCTGGGATAGATCCTGGGGACTTGTTTACCTTAATGCTTTTCTAAACACCTAACACCACCTCCTCTTTTTTATATTGACACGTTCTCAAATATCAACATACCCCTCCCTGGACTCACTATCCGCTATTTCTTTTCCCTTTGTGAATACTGATGCAAAGTATTTGTTACGGACCTCAACCACCTCCTCCAGCTCTCTGTATAAGTTCCCACCTTTGTCCTTGAGTGGACCTACCCTTTCCCTAGCTACTGTCTTGTTCCTTATGTACGTATAAAATGCCTTGAGATTTTCCTTAATCCTGTTTGTCAGAGGTTTTGTGGCCCCTTTTAGCCACCCTAAATCCTTGTTTGAGTTCTTTGAGGCCCGACGAAAATGGAGAGAAAGAGAAGCAGGAAAACAAAAGCAATAAACATGGCTGAACCAAAACTTTACGTGATGTAAAGGTTGATGTAACCCAATATCACAGAATTAGGAAAGACTACCTCCAAGAACAAAGTCAAACAATACAATATTGACAATTATGAGAGAAAATAGAAAACTAGTTAAAAGCAATAAGCTGCAGGTCAAGTTTCCCGAATTGCCCTCCAATCTACTTCTCACTTGACCTGCCTCTGTGGTTCTAATGTTAAACTTAGCATGAATAGCTGAAGAAAGTGCAAATGAAATTTAACCCTGTGTTCTCTAAAATTTGGTCTGAACCTCACTAGGGTTCTAAACATTCTGTACTTTCAGAACCCACAAAAAAAACTTTCCTTCAGCTGTGCAATATGGGTTCCCCCTTTTAACTTCTGTTTTCCTTTCACTCATGTCTCTTCATCCAGTGTACATTTGAAAAATACGATACAATTAGCTGAAGTTTAAATTACACCTGAATGTCATAACTAACTTTTTTTTAAAATCTGAAATGAATTAAAGACATTTTACATAGCCATCCTTCACCTTGGACAGCTACTCCATACACATTAGCTTCTTCTACAATGTCCAACATTCCGATCATTTCGGCCACCTCTGTAGTTGCAACGTTTTCCCCTTTCCATCTATAAACAATGACATTCAGATCAATGGTTATATCACTAACATGGGAAAGATTGAGTTCACTTAAAGAGAAATTTCATGGCTGATTTTTTTTTTCTGTTTGAAGCACTGAGTACTCATTTAATGTAGCCATATTTCTTTGAATGGTAAAATTTTTATTATTCTTTAAATATATTAATCTTTGTTGAAATAAAATGATTTTTGAAGAAAGTGTCTAGGCTTGTTTCTGCTTCATGTAATGAAAATAGTTAGAACCTATTCCCTAATCTGTTCGTAGTCTGATTTTGCATGCTGGTGAGCGTGTGAAATGCGCTGCCGGCAGTGGTAGTGGAGTCAGATACTTTAGAGACTTTTAAGCGACTCTTGGATAGGCACATGGAGGATAGTAAAATGTAGGGTATGCAGGGTAGTTTGATCTTAGTAGGATAATAGGTCGGCACAACACCGTGGGCCAAAGGGCCTGTACTGTGCTGTACTGTTCTCTGTTCTATTGGAAGTTATTGCATGGTTAGTTTTCATGTTCATAAAGTGTCAAATACCAATTCTATTTAAGGTAAGTTAACAAGCTCATGTAATCAAAGTAAATTTGCCCAAACCTGACAAGAACAGAAACTAAAGTAAAATCACGAATTCAACCTAAATCAACAACCTGATACCGAAGATTTGAAAGGAAAATTAGAAACTTCTGTTTGGCTACAAATATTGAACTCAAATGAACCACATTTTTCATCCTCAATGGAGTAAAAGATCAAAAGCAGGTAAATATTGATTTGTTTACCTAAAGGTATCTCCAATCCGATCACGGAAGTAAATGTAGCCATCCTGGCTCTCAGACATAAGATCCCCGGTGTTGAAATACAGATCCCCTTTTTTAAATACGTCTTCCAACAGCTTCTGCTGTGAGAATTTCTTGTTTCCAGCATAACCATGAAATGGGTTCCATTTAGTCACTGGAGAAATGAGGAGTCCAGTCTCACCTAGTGTAGGACGAGAATAAATTGATCATATTAGTTTGTAATGATATGGCTAAAATACGACTACAGAGGAAAATGTAGTGCTAGCAGTGCATACATACTAAACTCCTCCTGTTTTTAGTTGCCACACACTTATTATCAATTTCAGGATGCTCCAAGTCCTTTGTATCCAATACAATACCTTTTCACTGTAATTGCTGTTGTAATATTAAAAAAAAGGCATCCAATCTTTGCACAGCAAAGCCCCACAAATGGAAATAGAAAATACAGCCCATTCATATGAAATTTAAAAATACTGACTCACAAGCCTCTGAGTTTAACCTCTTCATTACCAAGTATAATAATGGGAACTGACAATCCACAAGGATTCCAACTCTACCTTTAGATCATGCGATCCTGTCGCCATAAGGATGATGACTTTGCATTTGATAAGACAACATGTAAGATAAATAATTCTCATGAACAAACCTGTGTTGTGGAACAGCATGGTATAGAAAGCAGAGATCTAATGATGTTATTCCATGTTGTTTACAAAGCGCAGGTTACCTCTATGGGTAAATTATCCAGAGGTCTGGCTAATGATCTGAAAGTGGGGGTTTAAATTCCAGTCAACAAGACATTGGGGGGAATTTAAACTCAATTATTTAAATAAATCTGGAATTAAAAAAAAGCTTGTATCAATAATAATTTCAATAAATTTCAATGTCAGATTGCCATGAGATTGTCTGGTTTGCACATATTCTTCAGATCAAGGGGAGGAAATGTGCTGGCTTTAGCCATTCTACCCTATTGGTGACTTCAGACCCATGAGAGATAGCAGCACAGTCTGGAGGGTGTTGGGAATTTTCAACATTCTTCACCTTGGATTCCATAAGTGTCATGGCATTCGGTGGAACATGGGCAAGGAATGCAAGATGGCTGTCGGTATTCTTCCTCATGAATTACACTCCTCAACACTGAACATGAGCTGCCCATGGCAGAGAAGGTACTGTGGGCAGAGGACTTCCATATCCATCACAAAGAATGGTTGGGTGGCATCATTATAGATTGAGTTGGCTGAATCCAGACAAACATATTTATCAAGCTAGACCATTAGCAGCTGATGAGCGAACTCCTGAAAGGGAAATAAAAACTGAAGGAACTGCAGATGTTGTAAATCAAAGACAAAAATAGAGATTGATGGTAAAGATCGGCAGG